ATAGGCTCTCAAGTTCCCCAGGGACCACCATCAGGGTGTGGTGGTGCCGAAAAGTCTACCACTTGAGAGGCAGACACAAAGAATCAAGAGTTCCATGGCACTCTGGCTTCCACGAGACCCTGCTTAGAACACAGAAAATGAAACAGGCCACCATCCTTCCTGCCTGTACCTTCTCAGCCCAGACTACCCTGGCCACCACTTGTATCTACTTGTTCTATAAGAACTGAGACCCTGAGAGGTAGGGATCTGTGCTATCGGTCACCACGTTCCCAACATTCTAATCCCACCAAGACCAAGACAATGCCAAGCACTGACACCCTTCTATGCATATGAGGGCCCATATGCTAAAAAACCTCAGGAAGGACAACTGGATCCCACTACCCAGAGGAGACTTGCTCTCTTTGAGGAGTCTTCCAATCCCATCAGGTTCTCCCACCTAGGAGTCCATGGAGAGGGCTCAACCCCCAGGAGGTCTTCTAGGGGATCATGGATCTCTCCTACTGTGGACACCCCGAAGCCTGTGGCGAGGCGTGGCAGCACACTTCTGGGGAAGAGTACGAGATCAAGACCGCAGTCACCGGGAGACGGTGACTCAGCAGCCTGGGTTTGGTCCCCAGACTGTGCCAGGCACTTGTTTTGATCAGGGGGCGATGGGCAGTAGATGCCATACTCCCTGACCTCAGGAAGTTGGTGGCTTCGGCTGGCAAGGATGCACAGAATCACTTAACTTTAAATCCTCGCTGATGGTGCCGTTTGCTTTTGCCCTGGGGTGAGGGGTGGTCTGAGTGTCCTGTGAAGTTCCAGGGAGACCTGCCTGCCCCAGGTACCACCTCCCACTGTCATGCTGCCACACTTGAAGGAGGCTAGCCCTGGTATGCGCCTCCATTCTAGCCCTGTTTACTGGGCCTGATTCCACCTGATCAGCCTCAGCTTTTTTGGCCTCTATCTACTGGCTGCCTTGCACTGGGGCTTGGTGAAGCTCCCTTCTTCCTATATTACAGACAAATCAGCTGTCCTACCTGTGGGGTGGATCCTGGGACTGGAGACCTGGGTCTGCCCCCTCTTCCCCTAGTTTCTATGGTCTCTCTCTGTTCTGGGTCAGTTGCTAGTCTCTTCTTTGTAGGGAAGGGAGAGCTGCTGACACCTCTCATCTCACCCCAGGTTCAGCCAGGCCTAGGCCAGCCTTCTGCCAGGACTGTTGCAGCATCTCCCTCCCCAGTTAGCATGCTCCCTTTGTCCCTCCACACCCAGGGTCTCCCACGGGAGCTTCCTTGAGATCCCGAAAGACTACTATCCTCATAGCGCAAAATCCTCCAGTGGCCAGGTGTGATGGTGCAAGCTTGTAATCGCAGCACTCAGAAGGCCGAGGCAGGAGGACTGTGGATGAGGTCAAGGAGTCTGAGCTACACAATGAGTTCAAACCTGGGCTAACGTTATGAGACCCTGCCTCAAAGAAACAAAAGAAAACCTCCTGCCGCTTAGAAGAAAACCCACTGTCTTCCCATGGACTCATGGGGGTTTTATCCCCTGCTTCCTGCCTTGATATTATGCCAAGTCCCTTCTCCACCCATTTCATCTCCGCTTCCCACACTCCCCTTTTCTCACAAGCACCCCTAACATGCTGTTTCACATGCATGGGATGCTGTTCCCGCTCCTTGCTAACTGTCTCCTGCTGGAGTGACCTTCGGGCCTCAACTGGAGTCAAGTCCTAAGCTTCACAGTTCTGTCTCTCCCACGTGTACACCCGGCTTCACACTCAACCCTGTTTGACATTTACGTCTGTAGGTGCAAACGGTGCAAATGGTGCAAGGGGAGCACTTGTACCGGAATCTGTCGCGGTCCAGCAATCAGGAAGGTTTAGGAACGGTGCACTCTGGCTCCCCCTCCAGGTGAGAATGGGTATTTCCAGCTGGCACTGAGCCAGCCCTCTCACCTGTTGGCAAGCATTGCCCAACACCTATGCCCTCACTTTGGCCGATAACCTCACATGATCTTAGCCACTCAAGAGTAACAAAATGATAAAGGATTTCCGGATGCTGCAGTACTGGGGAGCCAGGTTGGGTGCCATGTTTCCTTGGCTATCAGTGGGCATTGTCAAGGTCTCAAGTCCCGCCATGAAAATGGCGTCTCATCTCACCAGAACATTCTTTGCAGCAAACCATGAGATTCCCAGCTTAGTCTCGCGCTGTCTTCGCCCTGTGCCTCACATCACCTTACCCCAGATGACTGACTGACACCACGTCCCCTCCATGTCCCCACCTGGACCTGACATCTGAGAAGCTACTCACTTGGGAGATGCTATCCTTGGTTTGACCCCATTCTTGGATATCTAATGAGGCCTGGCCTTTTCCAGGCCCCGTGTCGTGTCTGACCCTATACACTTCCAGGACCACTGTTTAGGGGGTCCAGGGCAATGACCCAGTGGGGATCAGCTCAGGAAAGACGTGAGGCCAGTGTAACAGGACCACTCCCTGTCCACGTTCACTCCTGTCTGACTATGTGGCACCTGCCTTGCCCACTGCCCAAGGCTGCTCTTGCTGGAACCCAAAGGCTGCCTGGGACATGCTTCACCTTTCCCTCCGCCCAAAGTTGTGCAAAGGTTTCTGTCTCTTCCTTAAATACAGCAACCTCAATGGTTCAATCTTAGGACCCCTCCCAGTGTCTTTGGGGTGTGTGACAGGGTCTCATGCTGTAGCTCCAGTCTGCCTTTGAACTTGTGGTCAACTCTCTTGCTGCAGTTTCCTGGGTGCAGGGATTATAGGTGTGAGCCACTATATCCGCAAAGCCCTGGTTTCTATGCCTGGCTCCGCCCTCTATTCCCCACATCTGCAGAGTCCCACACTGACCAGAGCATCCTTCTCAGCTGTGCGCTGATCCCTGGTCCTACTGGGCAGCCTGGAGGGCTTTCTGCTGGCCAGAGCCTGGGGTTTCCTGCAGGAAACGTCCCCTCTAAGGTTTTGGAGCTCTGTAGTCCATGTAGTGTTTCCTGATTAGCTCGGCCACCTGCTCCTCTTTTCTCCCAGCCGTTCCCTGGTCCAAGTTGGTCCTGACCCACCCAGACCACCCGAGCCCTAGCTTCTGATCCACCTCCCTCAAGCAGCATTAGAAAGATCTTCCTAAAGTCCAAGCCTAACCACACCCCCTGTACTGAGTCCTCCATGACCACCCATCACTATCAGGACACAGTGAGCAACTCACTGGAAGGCCCCGACCCCTCCCACCTCACCTCTGCCATGGCAACCGAATGCCTGGCAACACTCAACCTTTGTTTACGCCAGGTCCTCCATCTGGAACCTTTCCTCCTGCTCCTCGCCCAGGGATCCCCTTCAGATATGCTACTTAGATCACATTCCTCCTCTCCCAGGACGCCTTCCCGGAGCCACACTCCAGGCTGAGCCAGGCACCTCTTCCGGGGTACACGCTCACTTTGGCTTCCCTCATCCCTGTCTTCTGAAGGCGTGTTTCCCACGGCTGAGGGCAGGACAGCTTGGGTCCCTGAGCCCCCACCATAGGGCACAGTACAACAGTCCCCAGAACATCTGTTGTGTGAGTGGATGATGAATCTAGACGACTATCCTGGCCCCCTCTGGAGAGACCCCCGGCTGAACTACAGGAAGTGTCTTTCCTCAGTCCCCGCCCCCATGCCCTCAGTCGCCACAGACAGAGACAAGGGCAAGGGCACAGCCCAAGCTTAGAAAAATAGGACTTTCTTGTTGTGCCCCAGTGCCCCCGAACCCTCCCCATCAGTTTTAAAAACGGTGAAGAATTTGGTGAGTCTGAGGCCAGGTCCCGAGAGGTGTCTGGATCCTGCTGTCCCGGGGCCAGAGGAGCCACAGTGGTGGGCCCCCAGCTAGGGTCCCGCAGGTTCGTGGCTGGGCCCCCAGGGCTCACAGTCCAGTTGGACCACAGTATGGGCCCTGGGTGCAGCAGGCTCAGGGGCAGGTGCACTGGGCACTGGGCCGAGGGCTCCGTTGGTCTGGGAGCAAACACTGCTGACAGGTGCTGCAGCCTTGGCCTTGCCGGGTGGCTGGCCACCGTGCACCTTGTAGCGTAGAAGCAACACGAAGATGAAGACCAGAACTGAGGCCACAATGACGCCTCCCAGTGCGATGATCATGGTGCCGCCCAGGAAGGGTGCGTGGGGTGCAGCGCATGGTCGCAGTGCCGGCTCTGTGGAGAACCGAGCGCAGCCCACTGGCCGTGTGGCGGTCAACCCGGTGGCACTGTCCTCATAGACGGCGAGCACACACAGATCATAGGTGCGGCCTGATGCCAGGTCGGTCAACAGGAACGAGCGACTGTCTGCGGGGATCATCCTGCGAGAGGACAACAGGTGGTGTCAGGACGTGGATGCCCACTACCCACGCTCTCCCAGCCCTCACCCTACCTCCCTCCAGCTAAGTTCCCCAAGGTCCTGCTGCCCCATTTCACCCTACTTCCCTCTAGCGAGCACCCCGGTTTCTTCTGCTCAGCTGACAACATACCTGTCTAGTGGGCTAGCCAGTTCACTGGAACTCTTCCCCTCAGCACCCAAGCTCCCTATTTTGCTCACTGTGGATCCCATACCATATTTCTATGCTGCCTGAGATCTTCCATTCCTCTCAGAGATTCTCCCCCTAACTGTTCTTTTTCAGGAGCCCCTACCATCTCTCAAGCCCTCAGCCCTGTGAGCACCCAGTTTCCCGGCCTCATCTGCCAAGCCCTGTCTCACAAGCAAAGTTTTCTCCCACCCAAGGCCAGACATCTCTTCGCTTCACCACCTCCCTTTAACTCTAGTTTCTACCCCTTACCCATCTCCCAGAATCTTGCTATGTAGCCAAGCTGGCTCATGTCTTGTGAAAATTCTGCCTCAGCTCCAGAGTGTTGGAAATAGAACCATTTTAATGCTACACCTGACCAGTACCCCCTTTTTTTTACTAGCCTCCCAGACATCTTTCCTCCAGATTCTCTCCCGATTTCCTTCTGTTCCCTGTTTATCTTTTGTTTGTTTTAGACCCTCGAGGGGGTGCACCATTCCTGGAGTGTGGTAACACCATGTCAGTGTGTGGAGTGGACACAGTAAGCTGCTACTCCATCTCCTGGCTCCAAAACCCATTTAACATATCGTCCTCGCATAGAGGATGTATCAGATATTAGCCCGGTAAGAGCAGACGCTATACTTGCTTATCCAAAAGGCTCGGAAGCAATTGCTTGTTTGTTTCAAGACAGGGTCTCTCACAGCTTAGCTGAGGCTTGACATGTAGCCAAGGCTAGCGCTAACTCCTTGTGCTTCTCCCTCCAACTCTGAGTGCTGGAGTGACAGACATGCTCCCCATACCTGGCTGCCTGATTTCTTTCCAGCTGTTAATTCCCCTTGTACAGCTGCTTTACGTTTCCCTAGCGTGCAGCTGAACCCCTATCCTAACCATTTGATTCCCCTGCACCCCTGTTGCCTCATTTCCTTCTAGCTTGCCAATGAATTTCCCCCTAGCCCCATTGCCTTCTTATGACTACCATCATCTCTATAGTGTTTTCCAGGGAGCCCGAGAGAGTCACCATCCCAGATTCCCTTTTCTGCCAATTGCTTTATTTCTTTCTAGGTCCATCTCTGCATTCCCTTTTATCTTGGTTTCCTGGTTTCTATTTAGCTTTACCTTTGTGTATGTGGCACTTGTCTGAGCATGTGTGTGTATGCATGCATGTCTGTACACATGTGTATATGCATGCATGTCTGTGTGCATGTGTGTATATGCAAGTCTCTGTGTGCATATGCATGTCTGAGTGGGTGTATGTATGCACGTCTGTATGCATGTATGTATATGAATGTCTCTGTGTGTATGTGTGCACATGTGCATGTGTGTGTGTGGTGTGAGTGCCAAGTCAAGCTTTGCTATGTAGCTCCCAGGCTAACTTGAACTCTCAGTGCCCTTGCCTCAGCCCCTCTGTGGCTGAGATTAAGGTGTGAACCACCAACCACGTCTGCTCTCACATTTTCTGTCCTTCCCACCCAATTCTCCCATTCCTTTTTGTTTATGTGCCCTGATGGACTGGGCTAGCTTTAGAAAAGGAACTCCACCATGACCTGTGAAGGTGGCTGTCTCTAGACTGACCCACCGCCCATCAGGCAAGGTGGCTGACCCTCCATGTCATCTCCTGAAGCCATGTGTGTGGCAACAGTCAGTTGGGAGGTGAAGGCAGGAGGGTTGTGAGTTCAGTGCCAGGGCTACATGAGATCAAGAGAGAGAGAAAGAGAGAGAGAGAGGAGAGAGGGAGGAGGAGGGAAGGGAGGAGAAGGGGAGGGAGGGAGGGGGAGAGGAAGATTGAGACAGAAAGAGAGTGAGTGGGAAGTAGGATTGAGAAGATGAGATCTTGAAGTATGGCCAGGAGAGGGGAGGGATCCAGGCAATGGGTGTGCACGATGCTAACCAGCCCTGGGAAGGGCCAGTTCTTACAGTCAGTTTGGGGCTGTCTGTACTCCTGACCCAGAGTCCATCAAGGACTGAGAGGCATCCACAGCTGCCCACACACGGTCAGTCTCTGGTGAGGACTGTCAGCCACCACCACTGCCATCCACAGTGGTCACAGCAGATGGACCAAGTGCTCTCTGGCTTGGGGACAGACGCTATAGCGACTGGCCTTTTGGAGTGTGTAAACTTCAGGCTTTGTGTTTGCAGTTGCGGAAGACAGACAGAAGCCCTCAGAATGGGGATGTCTACTCACATAGCAAGGCTTTTGCTTGTTTGGTTTTTGAGACGAGGTCTCACTATATAATGCCCTTGAACATGCTATCCTCCTGCCTCAATCTCTTGAGAGCTGGGAAGACAGACGGGCATGCACTGACACATCTGACCTAGCTTAGATTTGATTTAGCAAACCAAAAATTAGGATGTTACTGTTACAAGAACTCTGACACACAAGGCTCTCACACTGCAGGCACCCAGGCCTTGCCTCTGTTTAACCTCCTACCCCCAATTTTCCACTTACCCTCTGCTCTCATTCCTCTGGTTACCCCCACTTCCTCTGGTTACCCCCTTTGCTTTCTCAGCCGTCTGCACATATCTGCCATTCTGGCCTCTGGCTCCCGCCCCTCCTCTCTCGTCTCCTCTCCTCCTCTCGTCCACCCCTCTCCAAGACGGTGCTTACCAGGCATCCCTGGCCAGCTTCAAGCTCGCCATGCAGACCAGGCTGGCTTTGGATTTGTCACAATCCCGCCCCAAGCTCTTGCTGATCGCATTTCCCCTGTGGTAGCCTCCCTTGAAAAACCAAAGTTCCTGCTAAAATTTGTTTTTAGCCTCCCATTCCTCCCACAACCTCATTAACTTTTTCTTTGTTCAGTGCTGGGCTGAGACCTCAGGGCCACATGCAAGCGCTCTATCTGAGCTACACTCGACCCTATCAGCCATTAACGTTTCATTCTTCCAGCCGGACTTTTTCCCCTCGCTGCCGGATTTTGCTGTCTTCGTTTTTTATTTTGTTTTCAGTGCCTTCTTTCTTTCTACCTCTGCAACCCTATTTTTTTTTAAAATTATTGACATTGATTGAGAGCGTCAGCCTGCTGTCTGGTCAATTCTGTCTCGCTTCCCTTCTCCACATCTGTCCTATTTCTCTCGCCCTTTCTGCCCGGCTCTGGTTATCCCTGCTGCCTGATTTTGTTTGCCTTCACTTCCTGATTCCCTTTGCATCCTGCCGCACTGTTTCTCTGTCGTGGCTCACTACGTGGTGTTCCTGATGGACTCACAGCGCACGACCCCCCACGCCCCCACGCCAGGCCCCTGCACCTGTAGACAAGGATGTCATCCGCAGAGCTGTTGTATTGGATCTGGTACATGCGGATGCCTGGGACGGGCCTCTGGTCTGGCCACTGGACAAGAGCAGCAGTGGCCCCGTGCTCAGTCACTTGGACGCCACGTTCCGTAGGGGCCACGGTGTCCGCCACTTTGGCGGAAGCTGAGGCAGCAGAGGGCGGGGTGAGGGCATCAGGATCCCCGTCCCGCGGGGGGTCACAGCTGGTGCTATTGGCTAGCTGGGGAGGTGGAGGGGGACCCACGGTCAGCTCAACAGCAGCAGTGGCCTCGCCAGCGGCATTGGCTGCAATGCAAGTGAAGATGCCACCGTCTCCTGGCTCAGTGACCAGTAACTCCAGAGTCCCGTTAGGGAAGGCACGAGCACGGCTGGAGTTGCCCAGTAGTCGACCCTGGGGTGACACCCAACGCACTCGTGGCTCTGGGTCCCCTACCGCCCGACATCGCAGGGCAGCTGGCCGACCAGCAGGCACTGCCAGGGGCGGCGAGCGGTGGGTCACCACTGGCGGCTCACACACAAACTCCTCCTCACCCACAGCCCAGAAGTAGCGTCCTCCCAGAGCAGGAGGAGAGGCACAGGCCTCAAGGTCATCCTCCCGAGCCAGGCGTCGCAGCCACACCAGCTCGCAGTTGCAATGGAGGGGGTTTCCCCCAAAGGCCAGCACCAGGGCAGAGGCTGGTGAGCCTCGGGGCCGGGCAAGCAGTGGCAAACGGGAGAAGAGAGGGTCAGGTGGGATGGTAGTCAGGCGATTGGAGGTCATGTCCAGCCGTGCCAGCTTGTGCAGGCGGGAAAAGGCTCCAGCAGGCACTGAAGCCAGCAGGTTGTGGTCAAGGCCCAACGTGTTCACATTGCCCAGACGACCCAAAGCCTCCCAGGGCAGCTGCTCAAGGTTATTATAAGAGAGGTCGAGGTCCTCCAGGGTCTCAGCACAGTCGTCCAGGGCTCCAGCTGCCAGGGCTGCCAGCTGGTTGTTGCTCAAGATGAGGTGGCGCAAGTTGACCAGGCCACGCAGCTGACCCTCGCCCAGCGAGGTCAGTCTATTGCCATCTAGGTGCAGGGCACGCAGGGCACGCAGGTCGGCGAAGGCGCCAGCCGCCACGTGGCGGATGGTGTTTCTAGACAGGCTCAGATGCAGCAGGCCTGTCATGTTGGCCAGGTCACGGCGACGCACGGCCGCGATGAAGTTGTCTGCCAGGCGCAGCTCTGCCGCACGGCGATCCAGTGAGGGTGGCACGAACAGGAGGCCCGCCCCTGGGCACAACACACTTAGGGGCAGCGACTGGGTCTGGCAGCGGCAGCGGCGGGGACAAGGGCTGGATGTGGCCGGCTGGGGTGGAGATGAGGCAGGGGCCAGCGGTAGCAGGCAGAGGAGCAGTGGGAGGACGGCCATCGCGGGTAGGGGTGGCCTGTGGAAAAGAAGGGAGGTATTAGGGCTGGTTGGGGCTGGAGGGGGAGCTGGAGAGGGGGTGGGGTGCTCTAAAACCAGGAGAAATGGTCCTAACATGTTTGGAGAGTTAGGGACATCAGAGAAAGGATGGGTCAGAGATGTGTCACGAAGGCACTGAGAGTCAAGCATGAGCAGCGATGGTCAGGAAGCTGGTTAGACATGGGCATAGGTGGGCAGAGAATAGAACAGTTGGGCAAGGTGGAAAGAAGGTAAGCCACAGAGAAGAGGTGGGCGGGTGGCAAGACTCATCAGAAGAGGTGTGACCAAAGAGGAGAGGTGAGCAAGCAGGGAAGCTGGTCAGAGGCGGTCCATCTAGGGCTGGACAAAGACAAACAAGATGGTTTTGACCCGGTCAAAAGCCAGTAAGATAACCAGAGAGAGGAGAAAGGGCAGATACAGCCGAATCAGTAGGGGACCAGGATAACTGGCCAGAGAAACGGATTTGGAGAGAGGTTGTGAAAGGGAAGAAAGACAGCCAAGGTGCAAATGGTCAGAGATGGCCAGATGTGGGTAGACCACGAGTTAGGGGACAGAGGTGGAAGAGGAGAGAGAAGGTGGAAGAGGGACAGATGACGCTGACAGGAGAGAAGGAAAGGGTAGCTAGGAGAAGAGTCAGATATGGTTAGTGATGGCCACAGACCCAGCCTAAGAGCCACGGGTGGGCAAATGGTGAGAAAGCCAGGGGGCCAGAGAGACAAACGGTGACAGAAGTGTCAATGAGAAGCTGCGGGCAGGTGTGTCCAAGCTGAGCAGAGAGCTGGAGGAGGGGGACCAGAGGGCAGGTGTCGGCCAGAGGATGCCGGATGGTCAGCCGGTGAGAAGCCAGAGGGTGGTGGCATCAGAGATCTGGAATGTCATCGGCTGAACCAAGGAGGTCAGAGAGGGACAGAGCTGGCCATGTGTCCAGAGTGTTGGAGACACACTCATGGGACAGACTTTTCCCAAGGAAAACCCCTAA